ATCATCATCATCATCATCATCATCATCATCATCATCATCATCATCATCATCATCATCATCATCATCATCATCATCAATTAATACAAAATCACTCAATAAATAATTTCATTGATAGAATTTCTAAAACAGAGCAAGATGAGTTAGAATTATTATTTGCTAAATCAATATATCAGTGTGGTTTGTTTCTTTCGTTGTCTGAATCAGCACCAATAAAAACTTTGTGGCAAAAAGCTCGTCCTGCATTCAAATTGCCGGAAGAAAAAAACTTTCAAATGAATTGCTTGATCAAGTTTTTATTGAAACAAAAGAAGAAGTTGACAAGTTAATTGAAAGTGCTGAATATATAAGTTGATTTCTGATGGTTGGTATGTAGTTAACATTTTTATATATGCATTCATATATTCTTTTTTTTTCAAATATATATGATTAATTAATTAAATTAATTATGGGACAAGCATCACTCAAGAGCATTGGACAAATTATATCTTAACTACTCCAAAACCTGTTTTTTTAAAAGCCAATACTACTGATGAAGTTCGTCAAACAGCTGAAAATATTGCTGCAGACATAGAAGATATTATCAAAACTTTAGATATTAACAAACTTTCAGCTGTGGTGACCGATAATGCTAGTGTAATGAAAAAAGCATGGGGTATATTAAGTAAAAATTATCCTGGTGTGTTTTTTTTGGGATGCATCTCTCATAATTTAAATCTTTTGATCAATGATATTGTTAAAATATCATGGGTGGATATAGTTGTAAAAGATTCTAAGAAAGTTGTTAAATATTTTAAGGCACATTTAATTCCATCAGCAGTATTTAAGAGACATCAAAAGGCAAATTATCAATATCCAACATCTCTCAAGTTACCTGTAAAAACGCGTTGGGGGTCCTCTGTTATGTGTTTACAATCAGTTATTAAAAATAAATTAGCTTTAGAACTTACAATTACAGAATTATCATTTGATTCTTCATTTGATTTAGATAGTGAAGTAAAATTAATTATACAAAGTCAGCAATATTGGAACAATATAGTTTCAACTCTTATTATTTTAAATAAATTATTTGATGGAATAAAATTTTATGAAAGTGATCAACTAAACTTGGCATATTTTTACGATTGGTATCAAAATCTTTTTAATTCAGATGGTAATATTTTAATTTATTTAAATATGTTCAATTTTTTATCATAGGTAATAATCTTATTAATAACTTTTTTGATAGATAATTTAAATTACGAAATTCAAGAAATCATTGAAAAACGATGGGAAAAAATATACAATCCTATAATGATGGTAGCTTATTTTCTTAACCCTAAGTTTAAAAATCATGTATTACCAGAAAATTGCATGAATGTAATTTCCGATTTCATCAAAAAATATTATTATAATGATTCTTCAAAAATTTGGGGCCAGTTATTACAATACAAGGCACATTCAGGTCCATTTAATAATTCATTGGCATGGAAGACAGTAGATGACATAGATATAATCACATGGTGGAAAGGTAATTTCTCTTCAGCAGCTCCTGAACTAGTAAAATTTGCTGTTCATATAATTTCAGTTCCTACTTCATCAGCTGCTTCGGAAAGGAATTGGTCCACCTTTTCTTTTATACATGACAAGAAAAGAAATAAATTGACATCTGAATGTGTTTTTAAACTGGTATATATTTATTTCAATCATAAATTAAAATGTCCAAAAAATGATAACAATGATAATATAGATCTTACAATCATTGATGATGATGCAAATGTGGGAGGTGAAAGTGATAAAAGTGATGATGATGATGAAAGTGAAGGTGTTGATGAAGATGAAACAATTAGAATAGAAGATAGTGAAGAGTGGTATTGAAATATATTTAGTTTTCTTTTTTTTAATGGAATTTAAAAAAAAAAATTTTTATTTTTAATATACATAAATAAAAATTTTTTTTAAAAAAAAATTGCATTGCATAAAATGCGCACAATGCGCATGAAATTTTGGAATTTCATGCAATTTCCCATCTCTAGGAATTAATGTTAGAAATTTCTTATCATCTGGAGTATTATCATTCGGTAAGCTGTTCCAAGCAAGTCGCGCATTTGATGGCTCTCTTTCCTTAAAGTTCCTGAATGCCTGTTGAATAATCCTTGCACATCCCGTTTTTGTTAGGGGTCTAGAACATTCATAATCATAATGTGGTTTCATTAAATCGAATTGAGTTCTATCAAATGGGTCCAAATTTGTTTTGACATGCATAAGTTTCATACACTGGAAACATATTGCAGTCCCATCTTCATATGGTTTAGGTCTCTGATAATAATGTTTATCGAAATTCCCACCTTCTGGGTGAGAAGCATGGAGACAATATTGGTGATACAAACTACGTGGTCCTCCCCATGAAAGCATCTCTTGAAGAGCGAGCCTAACACAGATGGCCCACTGAACTGGCGTTTCATCCTGATCGATTATACTAATAAAGTCATAAGGTTTCTCACTCCCTATAATAAAGTCAAGAGTAATTTCGCCACTAATCATTATTGCAACTATTCTATTTGTTTCATAATATGGTCTGTTAACGTGGTTATTATTAATTTGTGACATATTTAACAATTATGTGTTTATAAGACTTATATACGATTTTAACAAGTTTATAGTATAGAATATCACAATTCATTTTTGTTCGATATAATGATAGAACCAGGTGAAAAAAATAACGATTTTGTGGAATTCAGGGAATAGCGGAGCTAGTGTTTCTTGACACATAATTATTTGTTCCACAAGACTAATTTGTGATACTGCTAAATTATTTTCTCACTATATTTATAAATTATGGAATTAATAAAGCCTTTTCCTTATTGTATATAGCTTTACCAATAAGAAAAAATACAAATAAGACTCAAAAAGGATATGAATGAGGAGAGTTTATTGTTCTTTATCAGTAATAATACTACGTAGAGTCTGGCTCATATCAAAATTCATATGTTATGGGACTCGAGATCTCCACCATCTCCGAGATCGTCAAGTTTTGGCTTATTTTACATTTTACAAGAGTGATCGGCAGATTGAAAAGCTTAATTTTCCCCATAGATGACGAAATATACTTCGCATAGAGCCATATGACTCATATATTCAGTACTTGGCGATTCTAATAGAATTGCTTTATGGAGCAAAGATCTGAGAAATGTCAGGATAACGTAATTACTAATCATCATTTTTTCTTCTAGCAGGTTCTCAGATTTAGCGAATGAAACAATATAAATAAACTGGATTTGTGAAGTGGGTTAGCAATAACATCATTCTTATATTTTTTTCAACGAAACTCTGTTTAGCATACTCGCAATTTATTTCTGAGGTAATCCATAGAAGTGGAAATTTTACTTACTATGGGTATTTATGTTTAGGAAACGAAAATGACAAACATTATTCTTAATTATCGTATTCATAGTGATTACTCGGTTGATATTTCCCCAAATGCAACGATTGGTGACCTCAAATATAAGATTAAGGAAAAAGTTCCCTTTGATAATTTTGATCTCTACGTTAATGATATTAGTCGAGATGTAAAATATTTTAATATTGATGATCTTGGGAAAACGTATCCATAATTTATGAAAGATGATATTTTTTACTTGTATATCCACATCATGTAATAGCAACATATTTTTGTTTCATAAAATAAGATAAGGTTCTATCGAACTATTGGTAACTATTTGTTCAAACTGAAATTGTGAGTGTCTATTTCATTATCCGAGATTATATATTTTTCGTACAGCTCTTGCCCGATAATACAATATTAATATTCAATCCCTGATGCAATTTTCTGGCAAAGCGATACGGAATGTTTTGGTACAATGCGCAATGTGAAAGTTTACTTTGCCAGTTTCCATCTCTAGTTACCTTATATCACATAAGCAAAACTTTATTTTATTTATTTTTATACAAGATTTACCAGAATATACCTCTGAAGGACATATTCGTGATGGAAATACTATTTTTTCAAAGAAAGAGCGAGCTGAAGAAGAACGTTATATCAGACTCCAAGTATAAATAAATTAATAAATAATGAATCAATGAATTCAATAATAATCTATTTTTTAGTGATATAAATCATCGTCATCGTCATCATTTTTTTTTTGTCTAGGAAATGGAAAAAATTATCTAACAATCTTTTTTTTGAGCCTTCTCTGGTGTAGTTTGATTCTCTGGAAGAATTTTTTTGATTTCATTGGTTTGATCAGCGCGATCATTCCTATTTCTTTTAATTGTCGACACGTTCCTCAGGCGATCAACAATGACATCTTTTTTTGTGCTATTTAATAATGCCATCGTATTGACAACTCGCATCTATGAATAATATTGATTCAGTAACCTTGAACATTAAAATGAAACAAACCAAATATGGATACTACCTTACTCTTCCAAACTGCTGTAATCAATTCTATTGCATCATTAAAGGACTCAATATCTTCTGGTATGCGATAGAGTTCGCTTTTGTTAATACGGGTTATATAACCAGCTGGGAGATCCAGCGTCATAATCATTAAAACTAGACCTGTAAAATATATAAAATTTAAACAATCGCATCCACATATGATTTCTTACAAATGGAAGAGGTAATAATAAAATAATGATATTATACCGCCATGAATATAACCCACTGTTTCCATTTTCTCCATTTTTTCTTGATTCCAATCTGTATTCTTACATAAGCTAATAAACATATCACGCATCATCTTTGGAAGCTTTAATCTCGACTCATAAAGCCACTTGGTTGCACCTTGTCCTTCGTAGTGTTTTCCTGCCTCGGAACCTCCAAATTCAAGTTTTATCCCCCCTGACAACTTTCTAATTATTGCATCGCCTTTTCTACCCATTTTTTTTCAGATATCCATAGTACGATTTCTGTTTTTTCGATCGGAGCTTGCGAGGCTTGACGATTCACCCCTAATAGAGGTTGCAGTTAACAGAATATTCATGTGATTCTAGAATCTTTCACTATTACTACTTACCGAGCAATATCAACGTTTGGTATATTATCAAAGGTTCTATCGATAATGGGACCCCAGACATTAATGTTGTACCAAGCTTCGTAATGATCCAAAGAGAAAGCATTTGGAGTACGTTCATATTGTCGTACCCTGCGAATGAAGCAAATAAAATCGTCTTGCACTGAATAATCATTCATATGTTGATATAACTTTTAGTACTATACTTACAGGCTGTGAACTGAATACTTAAGGGTATCCGCTTCAAAGTCATATCCTTCGTGATCAATTTCTTTCATGATTTTTCTTATTTCTTCAATATTATTCTATATAAAATATGTTAACAATGAGATGACAACAATTTTCGACAATGTTTTTAAACCAACCTTATTACAAAAACGTGCTAGATTTCCATAAAGTTTGGAGCTTAAGTCTGGATCTTCTTTAACATTTGTTTCCTCAATTTCTTGTAATTCCTGAGGAAAAAAGATTCCTTTGATTATTGGGTCATCAATATCTATAGTGAATGAATGAATTAAGCTATTGCATATTAAACAAGTTAGCTATTAGATTCGTAAGATCCGTAAGGAAACTCTAAAAATATTAACCCAATAAACTTACTGCTCTGATGTAAAATTAGGCACGCATTCATATAAAGTGTCCTCCACGACTCTGCCTGTGGATTTGAGTTTCCACTTCAGATTGTCCTTCATTTTATTATACTCTCTATCAAATGTCTTTTTGAGATCCGATTTAACTTCATTTTCAACTTTGTCGGAAAGTTCACAGTAATCAGAAATCGTTTCCCCGCTTTCCATATTGCGTAGTTTACTTTTAATCTGCCTGGTTGAAACTTCATTATCCTAACACATTAAAATACAAAATAGTTAGTTCTGTTGATCTCAGGTTTCTAGCTGAAGGTGTTTTTTCGGATTCGCAATTCAACACCCAATCCCTAGCAAGTTTGCGATCAGCTTTATCACCCTAGCATGAAAACTTGGAAAATTAGTAATATTCTTAACTAGCATATCCCTGGTTCCATCTATTTTCTATCCCACCAGGTCGGCTTAGAAGACTTGAACATCAGGCAAGCTTAGAAGGTCACCTGTGCCCCGGTGGGGCCAGAATTGGGTCGGCTTAGAAGGCTTGAACATCAGGCAAGCTTAGAAGGTCACCTGTGCCCCAATTCTAGCTTCGTGGCTCGGCTTAGAAGGCTTGAATGACGAAGAGCTTGGAAGGTCTTCGGCACGCCACCATTTTTTATATATTTATAATGAAAAAGTTTATACCTCCCTATAATTATAAAGCAGTTCCAGCGCTTTCTCACGCCTTGGGCCTTCCTCAGTATTAACGATTTTCTCCAGGCACTTAATGTAAAGACTTAACTTCGCTCTCGTTGTTTTCGAGTCGCATTCTTTTAAAAAATCTTCAATATTCCATTTTGACGGCTTGCGATCAAAGTATTGGTGCATTTTTTTTTTTTTTTTGAAAATGTTTTTAGTATATACACAAGAAAATAAAATCCCCACAAATTATTTTTTTT